TCCGCGTCTGCCCTCTCCCAAGAAATCTCCTTTGCCAATCTCATGGCTCTTGGTCGTCTTGGTCATTTGGAAAATGGCGCGAATGCCTCCGATCTTACAATCGATGGTCACAAGTTTGGACTTCCAGAACTACCAATTCCTTCGAACAACAACCTCAAATATAGATACGATCCCGTCGTTTCGCAGGTTACGAATATGATGATGCAACACGGCAAGAAGAGTGTTGCCCAGAGGGTAGGCTCGTTAGTTCTTTCCTTTTGCGTTACTCGCTGCGCATGGGATTTTTGTCATGACATTGCGGAATAATTTGCTAATTTACAATGTTTTCAATGCAGAACATGTCTTTCATATTAAATCATCTCCGAACCGCCTCCCCACCCACACCCAACCCCGCCAAACCCCTCCTTCCGGGCACACCCCCACCATCCCACCTCCCTCTCAATCCCGTTCTCTATCTTACTACCGCTATCGACTCGATCGCTCCTCTCTTACGTATCCGTTCTCAGAAAGGTGCTGCAGGTGGTGGAGCTTCTCTTCAAATTCCTGTACCCTTGGGTGTTAGACAGCGGAGAAGACAAGCTATCAAATGGATATTAGATTCGGCCAGTAAGAAACAATCGAGGAGTAGCGGGCGTGGAATGTTTGCACAAAGGTTTGCAGAGGAGATTATCAGTGTGGTGGAAGGCAAGAGTTCCGTTTGGGAAAAGAGGAATTTGGTACACAAGACTGGTACGAGCGCGAGAGCAAATTTGACCTTTTATTCCCGAAGAAGGAGGTGATGGGTTATCAGATTGGGCACGGCATGGGATACGGGTGTGGGAATGGGTATATTTGGTGCGGTGGGGTTGTAAAATTATTGTATTATGACATTGAAAAAATGGTACAATGCTACATGATACTTGGGGATGCATATGAGATCAAAATCTATCCATACATTTTGCGGCTTTTGTCGTATTCAACTTACCTCTTTTCCCAACCTCGTCACTTTAGCCCTCGCGTCTTCTTTTCATTTCCTAACTCAATAAAATGACCTCACCTCTGCAAGTCTTGCTATCCGATATCGTTTTATTGTTTCCTTTTTATTGAAAGCTTGAGCTCTATTGAAATCGCTACCTTGCTATTGGCTAATTCGCTCTGAACTGAGCGGTGAGCATTACCTATCCTCATCTATTTCACGACTTTTTGCAGCCACACTTCGCAGCTACATACCTACCTACCTATTCATGGATACTGGACCTAGATATTATGCGCTCAAGGTTATCATGCATTACCTAGGTAGGTAGGTCTTGAGACTTGGCGGTGAGCATATGAGGACGTTGTGATGTGGCGTATACGGTACGGGGTCCACGGTATCGTTGCTTTTTGCGGGCGCGAGAAATTGCTTGCTTTGTATGCCCAGGCGTGGCATGGTGTGGGATTGGAGGATTAGGGGGGGGGAGAGATGCTGGATGTGTCGGGTATGTTGGTGGGAGCTGGGGCGCTGGATAGTGTTCCGGCTTGGGGGTGAGGGGGTGGGATGGATGGGATGGATGGGATGGGATGATGTGATATGATATGATATGGTTTTGATTTCAGGGGAGAGTGGAAGATTGGGTTGGGATGGGTTGGGTTGGGATGGTGTATTGCACGTGCAAGTCGTGGGGATGTTTACTGGTAGGATGGATAGTGGTAGTAGTGTAGTATAGTGCTGACTGATTAAGAGAGTGGACAAATGGATTTCCGTGGGAGCAAACAGTATGTTGGTATGGAGTGGTGAGAATGGGAGAGAAAGGAGGGGGAAAGAAAGAAAGAAAGAAAGAAAGAAAGGTGGAGATAAGGTTGTTGCGGCCGGTAGTAGCAGGGCTGAACTAGGTATGAAAGAGGAAAGTCGAAAAATCGTTTCGACAACAGGTGTGGCACGCACTTGTGGATAATGGGTCGATGTTGGAACTGGGAAGAAGGTATGTATGCATGTACGTGTCAGTGTTATTGGAGGTATCGGGGTGGGAATGGTGCTCTCATGATTAGGTATGTGGCTCAAGACGCCTTGTTGGATTCACGTTGAGTGGGAGTTTCGAGAGTGTTTCAATGTACAGTATGATGTATTGGGCAGTTGGAAAGACTTCTGTGTAAATTGTACTATCAGATCTGTGGTTGGGTATTATTGAACTTGAGATTAAACATGATGCTGTGATGTTGTTGAATGCCCAGATGTCCTAAGTGAATTCGACTTTCCGATGCAATATATCCATACCAACGAGACTCCTGATCGAGATCAAGAAGTGGTACTACCTACCCAAGATCATTCGATGATCTGCACGCGTAAATTGACCGTCTCCGAGAGATTTTCGAGATTTCAGACCTGGGTAGATGATCCGACAGATATCCGAGGTATCTGTCTCTGTATCTCGGAGGACTTTGGGGGGATTTTCCTGTTTGGGGAAGATGGAGGGGCACTTACTTACTTGCGTTGGAGGGTGGTATACCGCTTGTACAGGGGAGGTACATTCTAGGTAGGTAGGTAGGTATACATGTGCTTTGGGGAGAATTGTTTGCGGGATGTTTGTGGAGGACTTTGGGGATGATTCGATTTGTCAGGAATTGAGTCATGCTTTGCGGGATTGGTGATGATGCATGCGATGGATTGGGAAGGGGGATTTGGGAGTCTAGAAGTTGCGACCGTGTAGAGAGTCGCGAATGGGTTGGCGTGCTGGCAGGCTTGGTACTGGAGCCGAGCGAGGGGAGCGTGGTGTGTTTTTCAGCTGTAGGGCAGGCAGAGATGGGGAGGAGATGGAGGGAGGGGAATGACAGGATGAACGAGGTGCCGGTATGCGATGCCAAGGGTTGGGGTGGTACATGCAGTCAGTCGCTGGTGTTGTATCGTGGAGATGGGAATTGGGTGGAGTGGAGTGAGGATGAGGTGAGGCGAGGCGAGGCGAGGCGGGGTTGGCACGATGATGGATTTGGGAAGAAAATGCTAGGGTTAGGATAGGTAGGGTAGGGTAGGGAAGCAAAGCAAAGCGAGAGATAAGACTTTCTTGTCGTGCTTGACAAGTCTTGAGGAAAGGGTACGGAAAAGCTTGAGGGGAGAGGTGAGGCAGTGAGTGGAGCCAAGAGGAGGTTCATTAACATCCATGGCCAAGATACTGCTGCGCCTTGGTTGTGGCGGTCCCCTTTGTATCATGCTGTGTGAGGATTCGGGCTGGGATGGGGGATGGTGAAGAATTGAGGGGATTGTGACTAACATCAGCATCTGATGGGGATAGCACGAGGATAGAAAAGCGAGCAATGAAGAGATGGGAAGCTGGAATTGGTGTAACTCTTGATGGAAATCTATCGGATTTGTAAGGGAACAAAGGGGCTTGGCGTTTTCGTGAAGGGGAATTGGGTGTTTGGTGGTATGTGGTGGTATGTAGTATGTAGTATGTAGTATGTGGTATGTGGTATGTGGTATGTAGTATGTAGTAGTATGTGGTGGTATCATCTATTATATCATTATTTATCATCTATCATCATATTATCATATCATCATCGATCTTTGATGGTTGATGGTTCAATTTGGAGGAAGAATTGATGTAAAAGGTTAATAAAGTAAATGATTGTATTTACCATCTATTTATTTACCTCCCTCCCTCCCTACCATCCCATCCCATCCCATCCATTTCTGATTTCCGCCCGCTACGGTTTGGGCCGCTTGGTAAGATCATCCTCCCCCGCCTTTACTGGTCTGCAGCTAGAGAAGGATAGGGTATAGCTTCCCGTGCGAAATATATATATTATTGTATTCTTTGATTTTGGTAAGATCCAATAGTTGATGCAAAATTTCTTATTTTGATTCATTTTTCGATCTCCCTTTAGAAATTCAAAGACAATCAATTCAATTCGTATTCGCCCCCTTTTTCTCAATTGAAGACTCAGAATTGAAGACTCAGAATTGGGAAGATCCTGCAAAATCTGGAACATCCATCCATATACATTTTTCATCCAGGTTCCCATCTACGAACGGGTACTATCTTTTCATTCACTACCTACCTACGTCCACGTTAGCCTCCTTCACTTCACACAGAAACAAAAGAGAAGAAAAGAAAGAAAAGAAAAGGAAAAGGAAAAAAAAGACCATTCATTCTTCACTTGATAGGCGGGTGCACGTGTCAATTCTTTTCTTTGTTAGTTTTATTACATAGGTACAGTACATATTCCGTACCTACTCCGTACCGTTCTTTTCACATTCATACTAGTTTTCCGTCCCTCTTTTATTGAACATCTAGAACTTTTAATGCGAAAAGGCTCCAACAATCCATAATCCCATACAAGCCATACAAGCCATACACTCACACACTCACACACTCACACACCCTTACCATACCATCCACTCACACACCCCCATTCCCAAATACCATACATACAATATCATACCATCCCATCCCATCCCATATCATATCATACCATGTACCAAGAATAAAAATAACACAACATCCATTCTCCACCTTCAACTCAACTTCAACCCCTACACAGAATCCAATCCAATCCATTCCAATCCAATCCAATCCAACCCAATCCAATACAATACATAATACACAACATCTTTCAATCTGCAAGATTATCTTCTCTCAAGGAACACTACTTTTCAATAGATCAGTTGATGCATTCATCACTTTCTAACTCTCTTCCCATCACTGCAGAACATTTCTATACTATCCTTCACATCACACGTACCAACGACCGGGGCTAAAGCAATGTCCTGAGTGCGAACCCAAAGATCATTCCAACAACCACAATGCAGTATCAAAAACTTCCTTGGTCATCAAGAAAGTTTCTAAACGGCTAGCCTCATATCCATGAGCATTCGTTGCTCCTGCCTTATTCAAATCTTGCAATTCCTACCGAGTACCTAGTTAGCCTCATTGCATCGCCGACGGAACCCTCGAAGAATAACAACAATACAACAAGTTTTATTATCTGCCGCTTCGGGAGCATCTGCAGAATCGCAAATCCAATCAAACCCACGAGAATCATTAAATATGGCGAACAAAAACATGTCACAGGAATCGGCAGCAGAGCAGGAGAGACAGGAGGTGCTCGCATTGTTGCATTCGACCAATGCTAGACCCAGAGGCTCGGTGAGCTCCACCGGCTCGGGGCATCGAGCGGGTGGCGGGAGAAGTTTATCGCCATTTGCGAATATGGCCAGGTCTCCTGTCCGCAGTATGTTAGATATTGATAGCGCTCCAGCAAAACCTCGACATTCATCTATTGGTGGCACAAGTACAGGAACCACTGCCCCATTTCGAAGTATGCTTGATGTTAAAACCCCGTTGACAACGGCGCCTGCGGTACGAAGTATGCTTGATGTTTCTTCTACTGCGCCCACAGCATCTGGTTCTAGAAGTGCGCAGACTTCCCCAACAGCGATAAATCACAAGACGCATGCCAAAAATGGCAGACAATCGAGGAGTTCGTCAGACGCAGCAGCAAAATCCACCATCGAATTTGGACCTAGAGCAATCACCAGGGTCGACCCTAACGAATATCAATTCTCTGGCTATCTACCAAGCAACCCGGGCGGTCCTTCAGTCCCAAAACGCAACACACAAGCAGGAAAGAGGATTACGAATTCAATGGCAGAGGTAGTGAGATCAGGCGTAGATCTTAGCGGCTTTGGAGGTGGGCGTGATCGGGAAAGACACAATTCAATTGGAAGTGCTAGTGGGATTGCGGCGAAATCAAAGTCGCCTCACAATCGGTTTTCCCCACGTTCTAGCTCCCCAGTTCCCACAGATCCTTCGAAATATGCCGTTTTGGACAACGGTAAAGTTATAGATGTCAATAGTGCTTATCAACGATTGTCGGATGCCAATCTTGCGCGATCGAACGGTGAATTATCCATGTTAAGTCAAAAGAGCAGGCAAAATCGGCCAGCTAATGAATATTTCGATATTAATGGACCTCGACTGAAGAAAGACTATGTGCCAATGGAGGGCGAGGAAAGCGTCGTTGATAGTACAGATGAATCGGACGATGAAGGTCCCAGAGGGCGCAGAAAGAAGGCGAGAAGTGTAGATGGAGACGATTCCGAGCGAGAAAGCACAACTTTGGGAATGGGGCAAGCGAAAGGTCCACGAACGCCGTTAAGTCAAATGGCTGCTGCTGAGGCAGAACGTACGTATAACATACCCTCAATACGGTGTCAGAAACTCACATTTTCCATAGGACAAGATGTCGTGGCCAAGGAAGCTTTGAATGAGAAGTACAAAGTCAAATCACTTCTTGACCCAGAAATCACCTTGACGGGACCTGCTGGGCACAAACCAAATAAGCCTGTGGTACATCCGCATACGAGCTTCGATCCGGACGGCTCTGGTGAACCTAGTCCCCATGACTCAGATACTGAAGCAGATCGCGGCGACGTTAAAAAGGCTCAAAGTCTTTCACTGACCATGACTGCAATAAGATCTACGCCAACGACATCACGCTGCGTACGTACAATACACCGTGGAGATTTCAAGAAAGTTCAACAAGAAGCCCGCGAGAACCAACGCCGTACCAGGAAGTATCTTGTCGCAACGGATCTCAGTGATGAGGCAGCACATGCTTTGGAATGGACTATTGGGACAGTATTGAGGGATGGCGACACAATGCTTGCTATCTACTGTGTTGATGAAGAGCTTGGAATTATAACTCCTGATAACAGCGGTGATGATGCCCAGATCAAGCAGCAAATATCTGCTATTGCTTCGGCTCAAAGATCTGCTAGAGCATCTCGCACCAATACCCCCTTACTGACGCCTAGTCTAGGACCGGGTCAACTAAATCAAAGCTTCAGATTAGATCCGGGCAGTAGAGCGGCCAGTCCAATGGGGAGAGACTCGAGAAGCAAAGCCGAACAGGATCGATTCCGAGCCGTAGAAGATATCACGGATAGAGTATCAGATCTTCTAAGGAAGACGAAGCTACAAGTACAAGTCAATATCGAAGTTCTTCATTGTAAAAATCCTAAGCACTTGATCACCGAAGTGATTGACTACGTCAACCCAACCCTAGTTATATTGGGGAGCCGTGGGAGAAGTGCTTTGAAGGGGTATGTTTCTAATTCTATCCACAATCTTCAAGAAAATCGAAAGCTAATGATGGGCAGTGTCATTTTGGGATCATTCTCTAATTATTTGGTTACAAAATCATCAGTCCCCGTCATGGTTGCTCGAAAACGTTTACGAAAACATAACAAGCAGAAGCGCACTCCTCACATACGTCTCGCAAACAATCTTACCAATCCACTAGTCAAATCTTTGGCCAGTGCGAAGATTGACTGATCAAGTAGACGATGTGATTTTTATTCAAGGCAGGTGGCGTTTGGCTGAGTTTGCTCTCTTTTTGCTTTTTCTCTGTTTTGACTGCTGGAGTGATGCGGTGCACATACATGCACTTCTGCTGTACCTGCCAATGCGGCATTAACTCTCGAAATTTTGTTAGGAGAGCTCGGCGTTTATGGAATCGGGATGGAATTGAAGATATGGGACATCGAGTGGCGATTGCAAATATAGCTTGGGAATTTGTGACAAGGGACTTGCGACAGAATACTAAGTATTCAACACACCACTCTTTAGCGAACCTTTTCTTCCTCGTGAATGAGGAATGCGTAACACGGCATGGAAATCGGAATGAGATAGTTAGTAGCTTATTAAGTGGCACAATTAATTATACATACAAAAGATCGCTTCCCAGATTCTTATTCGGAAAAGATGAATTAGCTCTTACTCATTGTGTCAAATTCGAATTTATTCACACTTTCAAGGTGGATGGGTAGTCGGCCCATGAATTTGTAGTAAAATCTGAATATTCAAGAGCAATAATGTCTAGGTATATGATTCTTTTGAGAGATTTTAATTCTTTCTTGTAGAAGCTAGCCAGCTAAGCACAAATCGCAACATTGAAATTTCAGCACATAGAGTAGTACCTAGCCATACACAATCAATCAACCATCCATCAATACAGCACGAACCCATCTAGCAACATGTACAAACCTATCTAGCACAACTTGAATCACTGCATACCCGAAAACATTCTCTGGAACATACTCTCCAATCTCCCTGATGGATTCGTGTTACGTTCTGGCAAGCCACAAGATTTAGCCACAAACCCATATTCGTAGTCATTCCTGCATATTTTCAATGGCTCAATCTCTTCCTCCATGCAATCCATAACTCTCCATCGCCAAAGATCTCATTCTGGGCGTGTGCATATTCGAACACCTTTTCTAATACTGCTTCGACCTTGTTCTCAAGGGTGTTGCCCCATTGGAGATAATTGCTGGTTACGGGTGGCCATTCTCTCGTTTCTTCCCATACTTTCAGAACATTTTTTCTCGTGGGTGGCTTGTTGGCTTTCAAGCATGTCGCAATATAATTGAACATATTAGCGAAACCTTGACGGAGTGCTTTGTTTGTCTTGAAGTTTTGCTGGAGATTCGGATGAACGTGTTCGACAAGGGAATCTTGCAGCCACAACCAATCGACGCCGTCATCTCCGAGACTCATGTGGATCGAATCATTCAGAATGTCATAATGCGTTTCGGCTTGGAAAAGAAGTGCCAGCTTCATGCGCGGCGATAGAAAGCCTCCGATGCACTCTCCACAGGTGCATCCACATTTAAGCTGTAGTAAGAGATGAGCATCCGATAGATTCGTCGGCATCGATCCGGTCAGTAGTACAAACTGGCAGTTGGTAGCGTCGGATGTGAAGCCAGCAAAGCTGTCTGAGATGACAACGGTCATCATTCCACGTTCGCGTCGTGTTCTGATGATGTTGAGTTTATGCTGTAATGCTTCGAGAGGGGTATATCCGTCGATATTACGAGCCGATGTCAAGGACTGCTTTTCGTTCACATTATCCATTAGCCACTGTGCGCTTTGGGGTTTGAACTGGCATGCCGTGATGTGTAGCAAGGTATTGTTGAGACTATCAACTTGCTTCCACTCCTTTTCATCTTTGACACGGAATGTCTTGTAGAATTCTACGAGCTCAATATCAGGAAGAGAAACAGCCGCGAAGTTCAAGGGTGTCAGTCTCTCCTTCAATTTCTTTAGTCTCTTTGCTTCCAGTTCCTTTCTGTAAGCAGATGTATGAAAGCTCTCTTCTTCACCAGGCATTGTGATTGTTATCGCCTCCCGTTCTTCTGCAGGTGTTGATGGTGGCTTTGGTGGATCGAAATCATCCTGGATTGCGAGTAAACGAGACTTATGGTTGGGGTCGGATGATAGACCAAAACAGCTCGAAGCGCCAATTCTTCGAAAGCCAAGGGAACGATGAAATGATTTAGCGGAATCGAAAGCTCGAGAGTTGATCTCACGCCGTTCGACTTCAGATTTACCTTCACACTGAGGTTCGACGTCATGGCGAAGACAACCAGGCATCAAAATTGTGTGGATTTTTGCACGACGCTCTCTTTCCTTATTTCGTCCAAACCAGAACATTTCCTCAAAAATGGTGTCTTCCGGTGTGCTAGAAGGGGATGGCTTGTGTAGTCCTTCTGCCTTCTTGACGAGGTCACCAACCATGGCTCGTCCCAATCCCTTTCGTCTGTATTCTCTTTCAGTCACCTCAATATGCTCCATTATAAATAGTGAGCCGAAATCCAACTCGCTTCCCCATGCACCTGTACCCTTTTGCACACAATGATTTTTGAGGTGATTATTGAGGTATCCATAACGGTCGAAAAGCTCGAATGCAACCAAAGACAACTCTCTGCTTGGGGCTTCCATCTCGCTCCAGAAGTGTTCTCTAATTTTTTCCCGGCAGATATATTGACCGAAGGCATGGCCAATTCGTCTGCCATCGACAGTGCAGTGAACATGAATCATGTGAAGCCAATCTGCAAACTCTTCATCTTTCGTCACAAAGAGTCTTAATTTGACTACTTGATCCGTACCATCCTTCTGGATAGTAATTTCGTGCTCCTCAACTTCATACTCACGAACCTCCGAATCTTCATCTTCATTTTCATACGAGTATTCATCTTCAAGTCTACCATTCTCGACATCAAACCCATCCTCTGAGAGTTCTTCAGACGTTCCAACATTTGATTCTTCGGCATCAGAAACAGTAGGCTGATGATAGTTGTGATCAACATCGACCTCGCTTCCATTTGTGGCAACTGCGTGAAATTTAGTATTTAAGAGCTGTTTAAATCTTTACAATCCAACTCACTCAAGTCATCAGATACTAAGACATTTACATCTTCTATCTTAGATTTCTTTGCCACTGTGTTTGTGACTGCGATACCGGTAACAATAGCTGATAGGTCTGTAGACGTATCGATTTCAGCATCAGGCTTGCGCTTTCGAGGAACTGCAATCGATGACTCGGTCATAATGGATATAGATATGGATTTTCCCTTCTTTTTCAAATCATAGAATCCTGAGAATACACTACACCACTTGAGATGAAGTGACAATCTGTTGTTGTTGATAAAAAAGAAAGTTGAGAATTTGAAAGTTCAAAGTTGAAGGTGAAGTGTTGATGTCTCAAGCTTCACTACCAGTACCTATCCATAATAGGCAAGAACCATATTGAGCACGTGCAAGCAATGATGCGCCCTACGGACCGATTCTCAGTACTATCTAGTAGGTACTTTTCAAGCACATTCATATTCACGTGCATCTATCCAGTCTGAGGCATAATCCGATCTCGTTTTATAACAATAAAGCCCGAGAATTATCATCTTTTCTGAAGCAGAAAATTGGAAACTTATCACTCTGGTTGAGAACCACCCAATGAAGTTACACATGTTCAAACCTCTTGGGGACTCCTTCGCTCAGCAGACGTACAGAAGCGGTGGCAGTGAAGCTCATGCTTGAGTACGGAGTATGGCATATTAATGCGGGTATGTTGCACTTACTGCACCCCTTTAATTCTTTTTTGTCGAAGTTCTTTCAATGATACATGTCGCGTTCCGTACAATGGCAAACACCTGTGGCAGAAGTTTGCTCCAAAATCACGGGACTTCCAAGGTTGGCGTTGAATCTATACTGTGTCTACCCAACACAGTGAATTTCATACATGTCTCGTCGAATATTCACTCACTGTAGCGGCGTTCTTTAATCTCTTTCTGTCGTGCTTGACACACTAGCGTTTCATGTTCAAGGTACAGTTTCCTGCAACTGTAAAATTCTGAAAAGAACTCTTTCACACTTATCGCATTCAAATTTCAACAAAGTACAACACGTCTCCCATTATCATCAATCATGTCGGATTTTCCGACAAAAGCTCATGGAAAGCGGAAGGCTGGCGGTGAAAATCCTGCTTCGCATTTGAAGCCATCTAACATATCCAAGAGAACAAAGATTGATAGTTCAGAGAACATTTGTATGTTGCAATTTGATCATCATTGTGTTTTGCGCCGCAGTTCTAACTGACTTGCTTGTCTTATAGTTTCCCCAGGAGAAGATGTATCGCCTGTTAACAGCGAGAAAACAATTATAGACCTGACAGCTGAGCACTCTGCTTCACCATTGACTTCCTCGCTGGTGTCAGAGTTGGTCTTTGAAGAGTTTGATGAAGAAACCCACGACGACTTCGATGAATATCGTGAATATGACTACGACTTGGATGACAAATTCAAATACGAGTCTCGTGATGAGGGTGACGATGACGATGACGACTATTCATTCAAGAAGGAATTCGAAACGAAAGTATACATTGTGAAAGGCATGACAGCGCAATGCATGCTTTCGATCTACGTCATCAAAGATGAACAAGACATTAAATGGCTGGATATCATTCGTGTTGAGTGCTTCTACAAAGGTTATCGGGTTGGCCGCGCTGTTGGTAGTTATATTCATAGACAAGGAATCAAATCCAATTTCTTGAGCATGATGGAATTACCAAGTTATAAGATGGAGGAGATAGCCGGCGAGCTTTTCAATAAATTCGGCTGTCTCCTTCGCAAGTTCAAGGAGCACGTTATACAACGAGGTACTGGTGCATGGGGAGCTGAGATGGACGTTGGCCCGTTGTTTTTGTTGGAAGAAATTGAAATCACTGACGAGGGGTTTCGTCGCAAGGGGCTGGGTCGAGCTATGGTCAAGGCGCTGATTCAAAAATCACAGGCGCAGGCACATCCTTTTCGGAGACTCCATGTAATTACGAAACCTGATTGGACTCTTGATCATAAGGAAGCCTTTGGCAAGTCTAGCCGCCAGTGCGCCATAAAACGTCAACCTCTCGACTCCGCCATCGCATTTTATCGCTCTCTTGGTTTCCGCCGCATTGGCTCTTCAGATTGTTTTGGCTTTTCAGTAGATCCAAAGCACAA